TATATATATGTATATATATATATATATATATATATATATATATATATATATGGTATTATTAGTAATGTAAATACCATAGTACATTAATTTGGAAATCAGTAGCATGGTATTACCATCTGATTACTGTACTATAGTAAAGTATGGGGGATAGGCCTATGCAGTTTTAGTACACAAAGTTCCAATAGTTCTCATGAATGTTTTCATTTCTGTCAGTCAATTTTTGTGTCTGAAACTGGATTAGGATGTGCTGCTTAACTGATTAACACTTTTTCTGACATGTCACACTCGCACAATAGCTGATTATAGTTTTCCGAAAGATAATAAAAATGTAAGTTTAATAATATTGTAATAATAATGTAGCTGAGTGTTAAAAGTGTCGAGTCCATTTTCACTCCACACCGGCCCTTTAAATGTAAATCCACTTTTAGGGATTTGCGTGACGTCATTTCCTGAGGGAAAACACTAAACAGCCACCCCACAATCTTTCGGACAAGGGCGAATATCAGTTACACTTACCTCCAAACAAATAATGTGGCTGAGCCACACTGCGCCGTAGAAGATGGATATTTCAAAACACAAAGCTGTTTATTGATAAAGGCCGATGCTAGAGGACTCATTGGCGGAATATTAATCAGTCTGCAAGTAAGTATCGCTTTTGTCTGTGGTCTGCCTGAGGATCAACAAGTGGATTGGCGCCGCTAACGCGCGAGCGTCTCGAGTGCGCTCATCCCAGAGGTGGGCGCAATATATATCTTTTGATTAATCACTATAGCTGTATTGTAAGCTCTACTGTTTGTATTATTAAATAAATACAGCGCTTTTAGGTCGTTCCGCCGTTCAATGTAAATTCTGCGCAAACAGGTGTCAGTGGAGTTCAGTCAGTCAGCGCGTGATCGTGAGACACTCGCAATGATTTTGATCGAAATATGAAACATTTTGGATATTGCACGTGCACGCCTCACAGCAGCGTTAAACGTGTGATGTTTTGTCAGCCGATATTTTAAACTTTTTTTTCCTTAAAAGGTGCGTTGGTGTTAGTGAGCTGCTGGTTTAATTTTTAAGACAGAGAAATTAATAACTTGTAATAAAAGGAAACAACAGACCACTGTCTATAATGTATATTTACCACAGTGTTACTATAGTGAAGAGAGTGAAGGTAACAGCTTAATTTTAGTTAATTGCAGTTGTATTCAGAGTCTCTAAATATCTTACACCTTTATTTTTTCATAAATACTACAGTTTGTTTTATGGAAATTATAGTTGTATTGACGTAACTGGTGGTTTTTCCTTGTTACTGTGGTCTTATTACAGATGATTCAGTTAAATAATAGTTGCTATACATACAGCACAATACATACATACATACATATACATACAATCTGAGTTAATGGTCTTATTATAGATTCTACAGTTCAACTGTGGTTAGAGTTAAGAACTATAGCGAGTTGTAATTTGTAACTGAGATGGTCTTTCTTCCAGACTTGACTAACGAATCTTCCTGAACATGCTGAGCTTCCTTCGCCGGACTTTGGGCCGGCGGTCCATCCGCAAACATGCCGAGAAAGCTCGACTCCGGGAAGCCCAGCGAGCCACAACACACATCCCTGCTGCTGGAGATGCAAAGTCCATCATCACCTGCCGAGTGTCTTTGTTAGATGGCACAGATGTCAGTGTTGATTTGCCGGTGAGTTGACATACATTTAAGTGTACATGTGTATTGTTTTCATAAACCGATCTGTTTGGTCAGTTTCAGTGTTCTTGCCAGTTATACTTGTTGCGATACAATCTGTTTTGGTTGCGTTGCAATCTTGTTTGGTTGCAACTCAAAAAAAAACACTTCACAAATTAAAAGGTGACCTTTATTGAAGCTCAAGGTTGAATCCTAGGCATCAGTTTTCAGCCTGTGCTCTGACAGAAACTTGCCTACTGAGTCACGTTGATACTCCAGTATGACAGAGAGAATGCTCTCCATTGTTCATTGCTGTTTGAGACCGTTTTCTTATTACATAATCCTGAGAGAAAAGTACAGTGAAACTAGACATCTCTGGTGGTGGCTAGAGATGTGTTTGGCACTTTTAATAAATATGAGAAGTCTTTACTTCCAACTTTGTCATTTTAATCACCTTGACTTGAACTGACTAGATTAGGAATTCCTTCAAAGAAGTTCTTTTACTCCGAGCTCATGAGTCAGGCGCCCACATAAAATGTATTTGTGCCAAAACCTGATGCTGTTTTTACTGTTGTGCCTTTGACTTTAATGTAAACACTGTCTTCGCATGTGAAATGAGAAACGGTGCTCTCAGGCTGGTCTTTTTTCCTGCCAGTGCATGCATCTTAACTTTGTAAAGCCTACTGTATCATATTTGATGCATGAATTTGTAAGGCCTCTAAATTGTCAGCATGAAAAAAAAAACTTGCTTAAAAAACTGTTATACACAAACTACTACATGCCTTCTGACCCTGACTGATAGTTCATACTATTTTAGCAAGTAAAAAGCCTTTTTATTAAGTAAACATAGGAACTAAATTAATATTGTTATTAATATTTCAAGATGAACATTTACTGGACTGAAGCAACTTGGGCTACTTGATTATTCATACATAATTGTTTTGCAAAATGGTCATGTTAGCATGTGTGTGTCAAATATGATACAACAGACTTTTGAAAAAAGTTATTTCATTATTAACATTATGTTTTGCACCCCACAATTGAAACTACAGAGTTTTAAACTAAGCATTTAGGTATCATCTTACTAAAATATTATTGGGATATATTGAGTGACAGATGATGTTTACCATTTTATTTATAGTCTAATATACAGTAAAAATTTCAATGATTTAGAATTTCCTCTTACTTTTTGGCCAAATACAGTGGTGTGAAAAAGTGTTGGCCCCCTTCCTGATTTCTTATTTTTTTGCATATCTGCACCAAATTGCATATTCTTTTCAGTTTTGACCTCTGAATGAAATTGATGTTTTTTTTTCTTCCTCGAGTGTGAACTCTATATTCTCATAGGGTGACCACCTGGTTGTTGCTCTATTGCAGGTCAGCTCACAATATTAACCTATTTTCAGTGATGCTGGATGATAATATGTTTTAAATCACCAATAAGCTTTATAAAATTTTAGTTGTGACTATAAATATACAGTAAATGTTAATAAATAAATGTCGCCTGCGATTTTGAACGCGATTTTGTGTAGCTTGTCAGTGAACTACAGCTCTGTGTAGTAAATGCCACTCCATCTGAAAGCACGTGCTGGAGATTTACTACTAATCACCATAAGTCTGTGTTTTTTGTTCTGTCACTGTCATTCTGTTACACTGTGGAAGCTTCTGTCACGAAAACAAATTCCTCGTATGTGTAAACATACCTGGTAATAAAGCTGATTCTGATTCTGATAATAGTAGGGGTGTAATGGTTCAGATTGCTCATGGTTCGGTTCAAGGTTTTAGGGTCACGGTTCGGTACGGTCAAAGTCCCTTTAGGACTATGTTCAAATAAAAATAAAGAAAATAATAAAAAATAATCAAACTAAATGCAACAACACAAATAAATACAATAGAGCAAAGATACAAATAAAATAAACAGTGTTTTCAGGTGTTAAACAGTAATTTTCAGGCACATTTAAAAGTAAACAAATGTAGCTAAAACAACTGTGCATATTTCACTGTTTAAATTAAAGACCAATCCTTGATGAAGTTACAAAAGCTATTCAATCAAGAGAAGTGAGTGATTTCCTTTTATTTTGTTGTTTAACATTAAAAACACAGATAGCAGGAATAGACTGCTGTTTCTTTAAAACATAATTCACAGATCCAGTACACTGATACTGATACACATGCGTTGTCTTTCTCGACTGTTTACGTTCACTTAAAGAGCAGGTCATATGGTATTTTAAAGTGTCCTAATATTGTGTTGGAGTCCCCTACAACAGGTTTAAATGTATCTAGGATCAGAAAACATTGTCATTTTCTCAGAATATACATTTAATATTAGAATCATTTTTCAATGATTTCGA